GCCAACGCTCCTGGTACCGCTTCACAGACAAGAGATCCCACACGGCCTCCGCATTCTTCATGAACACCTTCTCCCCCGTCAGATAAACATCTTGCATGGCCTCTCGCCAGTGAGAACGAGCGCAAAATGCGCAACCAAGCATGCACCTCCTTGGCAGCTCCGACTCCGGCGGTTCGTCCCAGTCCATAGCTGCATGTCGTAAAAACCGCGAGTAGCTGGCCACGTAGTGCCGCACCTGAAAAAGAACGCCAGATCCAATAAACACGAGGACAACAAAAAAAAACGCCTTCCATGCCCGAAACTAAGCAACCGGACGATGCCTGCCTCCGATCCCACCACGACGTGAGGAGCCAAACTCTCCAGGTGCAGAAAGGCATTGCGATACTTCTGCAGTCCACCACATGATGACTCTGCACGTGTTGCAGCCATTCCGGCCGCGATCGGAAGCTGACGCCCGAACACAACAAACAAGGCTGCGGCAAGGTGCTGATAGCCGAAACAAGCCATTGCATCAAATTCTCTACTGCAGCTTCACGATGCAAATTCCACGTGTCCCGAGCCCGCAACACGGGATTATCCAGGTTGCCAGTCGCATCAAGACGCGAACCGTCTGAGTTGTCGGCATTGCCGCACCCGAATGTTCTGCTCACCGCCGCCCAATCCCGTCGTCGTTCGTCGCACCGCTTCCGCTTGCGCTCCTGCCGACCATCAAGTACTTCACGTGACCTGCAGTCTCCGCGATCTTGCTTCCGCTTCTGGCCTCTGCGATCTCGCTTCCTGCAATCTTGCTTCCTGCCTCTGCGATCTTGCTTCCGGCCTCTGCGATCTCGCTTCTGGCCTCTTCCATCACACTTGCGACGCTGCAACTGCCGCTGCACTCCGGATGCAAATCGACCCAGACGCATGGACTGCCCGAGTGCTTCCTCCAACATCAACACCAGTTTCGGATATTCCGACCTTGCAACCGGCGTCTTTCCTAGACGTGCATCTCCGGCCTGCTTGCCCCACAGCCTGACCCGTTTCTCAAAAAATAACAGCGTCGGCCTCTGCGGCAGAAGGTCCACGGCCACAGGTTCCACGACCGAGTCGTCGCAGCGAAGCCAGTCTCGATCATTCCTGCGGAACTGTCATTGGTCCGTAACAAAGCATGGAGCAAGCAAACCCAAACAAAAAGCCGGCGCACGACACACAACGTGCATGCCACTCGCTCGCTCCAGCGCACGAATGCGACGTAATGCTCGCGGGCGTGGAGCACCATGGCTTTCAAAACGTAGCCCACCTCACGCAGAACCGCGAATCCGACATCCGCGACGACACTATATCCAAACTCCACAAAGTGACTGAACAAAAAGGCCGAGACGCCTCACCGACACCGACCTTGCATTTGAAGCCCGCGGTCCAGTCCAAAAACGTTTCTGCATCCCACTGTAGATGCAACACCAGCACCTTCTGCGATCGCTTCACCGTCTGAAAGATCGATGACACGGCCTCGGACAAAGTCCAGCCAGACGCTCTCTGGGGCAGGGCTGCTTGAATGATGCCCCCGAGCTGCACGGAGCCACTGCTTCCTTCATCCTGCACCAAACTCTTGTCCCTCAAGCAACATTCCAACAACAAGGCTGCAAACTCTACGACGTCGGCCAAGCTCCCGTCGGCGCAGCGAGCCGGATCCAACCTCCGAAGGACGAACTGAAGTTCGAAAGGGCACACACAGTCCCAGTCTCGCGAGTGCAGTCGGCTCATCAGACCACGAAGAGCACCCCTTGCATGCAGACGACCCTTCGGCTCAACGTCCTCCGCCTTCAACACATCCGCTCGAAGAGCTCGACAGGCGTACCAGCACTGCACCACAGCATTCATATAGCAGCTCTGGCCCAAATTCGGTAGCCCCGCTCGCAGGGTCAGCGCACTGAGACCGGCCGTCCGGAGCGGTCGACTGCATTTCACCTACCCGCATCCCTCCCGTCCGGTCCTGCTGCAGACTCGCATCGCTCGACTTCTGGCGGAGCCAAAACCTCATGATGCGCTTCAACAGCTACCCACACTTTGTATCTTGACGTCCCCGCCCTGCGCCGCGTGTGCCACGCTTCCCTGTGGCATCGGCCAGGGCTTCATCCCAACTGTCACGCCAGGGGCCTCTCTCCTTCTTCCCGCCGACCTTTACAAAACCACGATATCTTCCGAAGACGTTGGTTTCCACACCCATGGCAGCAGGTGAACTATAAAGACTCCGCAACCCGCCAACAGCAGTGTAGCAGCCGCCCACAGCGAGCAGTCAACTACACTCGCTACGGCAGTGCCGTCGTCGTCCACGGCGAGCGGACGCCCCTACGACCCAGAGGACAGTGTCACCGCCGCCCACAGCGAGCAGTCGGCTACACGTCACCACGAGCCAGACATGCGACGGCAGGAACGCAACAGCAGCAGTTGATGCTCGCGTCCCCGGCTTTCACGCTTGAACACGGCCACGCATCACGCATGCCCATACCCGGCCTTTCTCTACACAGTGTGGCCGCCGAAACACGCTCTCTAACGCTCCCCCCTTCCCCTCCCGAGAAAGGGAATCTGCTCGAAGCGTGAAGACAGCCGACCCTTTTTCCACGTCTTCCCTTGCATGCCTGCGACAGCACGGCGCCGCCCACAGCGAGCAGTCACCGTCCCTTCCCATGTCGACCGCCGCCACGATCGATCCTGAATTGAAAACAACAGCACCACGCCGCAGCCTTCCTAATTATGAATTGCCTCGCATGCACACAATCCCTCAGCTGCTCGAGTTTTCGTCTTCTTCATCACTCGATAGAGATGGGCCGGTTTCGACCGCGATGCGCTCGGTGCCACAACCACGCCGAGCCATCGCGGACTTGTCAATCCTGCACCGTGGAGCCGAACACGTCTCTGAAAACATCTCGAAAATCGGCGCGATGCTCTCTACACCGGATGTAGTAGTGTTCCAAAGACCAGATCACTTCCGCCCCGTGCATGAGCTGAGTCCGAGCTTCGAACTCCAGCAGCTCTTCCACGATGTTCACCTGACGCCAGCAACGCTTGGCATGCTGCAGATGGTCGCGATAAAAGGCTCGGCCAAAACGACGAACTTGCCAATCCGGCGGATAGGGTCCTTCCAGCTTCACCAAGGAGCCATACACGGGACACATGAACTCGTTCATCATGACTACGAGCGCCCACTATCGCCAAAGGCGAACTTCGAGGAACTTCGTGCCGAAACCGACGGCAACGACTTGAACACAGGAAGCCTACAAGATAACACCGCAGCAGGCACATCACAGCAACGCCTCCACATACGAACATTCTCTTCAAATCCTGCGGTCGACACAAACATCCAGGCTAACATCCGGATACACGTGACGTCACACCGCCGACACTTCTTTTTCCCGCGTCTTCGCTTGCATGCCTGCGACAGCAAGAAACGGCGCCGCCCACAGCGAGCAATCACCATCCCTTCCAGCGTCGACCCCCACCACGATCGATCATGGATTAAAAACAAAACAGCACCACGCCGAGGCCTTCCTAATTACGAATTGTCTCGCATGCACGCGATGCCTCAGCTGCTCAGTCAAGGGAACTCCGGATACTCGTAATCCGGATCCATCGCAGAATGTTCCGTCGCCACACAGCAGGTCAACCTGTTTCCGGTGACATCCCTGGCTGCAACGAAGTCCCTCCGGGTCATCCTGAGTGCGCCGTAGCACGTGATGACTCACTGAGAGCAGCAAGAGTTTTTCACTGAATTGCACTCGCGTGCAAGCTCCGCACGCTGCACACGATGCACGTGCGCACAATGGCCGCACGCGGCTCGCTCCTTCTCCTCCTCCTCCTCCTCCTCCCACACCACCCGCCTTTCCACCAAAGCTTCGAGGCTCAGTGTTCTGCTCAAACGGCTAGGAAGCCCCCGACGAAGAAAGAGCAAATGCAAGCATCCCCGATGAACACGCCGGTATTCCCAGGTATACTTACGGTTATCTATCAGAATGCGCTCTTCGCATCCGTGCGCCAGCTCCGAGCGCGTCAGCTGCCAGTCTCGACCCATGATTTGCGCCAGCACACCAGCAATGGCTCTGGAGGCGGACCCCACCAGGGCAAGCTGTCGTATCCCGGGGTAACGAAACCTGACTTTGATTGTGTCCCCCTTTTCTTCTATCGTCATCCCAGGCAAGCAGGGCGGCCACTTCCGCAGATGTCGCATTACGACAGCCGCCGACGAAACAGGCGAGTCCAGGGGCTGCTCCACCCAGTCGCCGTCTTCATCGGGCAGATACAAGCGACTTTTTGCGTGCAGCTCCAACGTCACAGGCACGGAGACGACGTCGCGAAGGAGTGCCTCCAGAATCCAAGAAGGAAGAGACGCAAGCTCCACGCATGCCATGGCACCGCCGAGAAAGGATCATCCCCCTACGACCTTCGTACCAAACCTCGCGGCATCACAGAATCAGTCTAGCAACACCGACAACGACACAGAACCGCACAACACCAACAATAGCTCTCCACATCCGCACGAGAACAGGCCTCCCAAGCGATCTGCTCGTAAACGTGCGGATGTCCCTCCTTGCAAAACAACACGAACGTGCCCGACGACCGGTCAAACGCTCCAAACTACCACAAAACCACCGCGACCTCCCAACGGATCTCCTCCACGAAATCGGGATCTCGCTCCTCGCAAAGCAACTGACATACAACCCGCACTCGAACACTGGAACCTGCCACTAACCACTGCATCGCCGTCCTTGAACATCTCCGTCGTCTGAAGGCGTGAAGCTGAAGGCTTGCGACAGGCCAAAAGACTCATGCAGCAAATGCAGCAACAACACCGTCATGCGTGAGACTACCCGAACACCATCCCGATGCCCGCTGCACCTAGTTTTCTACCTGGCCGACACTACTCCCTCCCGACCACAATCCACGCGCTGGCAGCCGCCGCCCACAACAGGCAGTCCACGTGCAGCACGCCACTTTATCTGCAGGGAATCACACTCATCCACGCCTCACTCCTGCTCCTCGCCACGAGCCCGCAAGAATGTCAGCGTGTCCTGCCAAATGACCTCCACCAGAATCTGCACTTCGGCCTTGTTGCCAAGGTTTCTCGAAGGACGAAAACCTCCCTTCGGATAAAAGAGCTCCTGCACGACCTACCGTCTCGATTCCAGGCACACTGCCGGTGAACCAAGCTTCGTCAACCCTCTCCATGACGTTCCAGGCCAACTGTTCCAACGTCTCAAACTTACCCTGCTGGCGCAAGCGCGCCACCACCTTGCTGACCTCCGTCGCTACAGGATGAAGCCGCCAACGCTCCAAATCATCCCGAGCCAAAGCTGCTTTCCCTGCAACGCCCGATGCTGCCGATGCCACACCGTCGCCCGGACTGCTCCGGCCTCGTTTCACGGCCTCAGCCCCGTCCGCACCACGAGCCATGATCGCTTCGCCACTACGGGCCATCAAACATTCCCTGCCAAGCAAGGCAAATGTGCCGACGCCGCAATTCCCGGCCGTCCTCCCCCCCCCCTCCCTCCCTCTGCATCCCAACAACAAACCACCCACGGAAGCACACAAAAAAACGCTACACTACCATTTCCGTGAAGCCCTTCTGCTAACTAGCTCGATCACCATCAAACTCGCTGCTACACCACCGGCATGCTACCACACGGCGAAGGGGAGGTCGCACCAGTCCAGTCTCCAGCGGCCAACCTGTCCAGTGCGCGCTAAAACCAAAGCGACCGCCTCGATCCTTGAAGCTATCCAGCCTCCTTGCGACACGCCCACGAAATCGAGCAAATGGAATGCTGCAGACAGCCTCACAACACCCGAACACAGCATCCCAGCTCCCGCCGACGCTGTAACATCTTGCAGCCAAGCTTCCACCAGAGCTCGGCACCAGCGCTCGGGTCAAAGACGAACACGATACTGAACAGAGCAACCACAACGGGTCAAAACATAGCATTGTCGTGTCACAGTCACACCTACGCTTCTTGCAGCCGAGCTTCCGTCACTGGGACCAGATGTAGGTCAACAGCACGTCCAGCCAGCCGAGCATCTCTCTCCCTCTCCCTCTTCCTCTCTCCCTTTCCCTGTCTCCCTTTCCCTGTCTCCTTTTCCCTCTCTACCTTTCCGTCTCACCCTTTCCCTCTCTCCCTCTCTCCCTCTCTCTCTCTCTCTCTCCGTCTCCCCTTCCCGAGAACAGGACCCCTTTAGCGCGCGCCTGATCCAACATGAGCCCTCCCAACAGCCGCGCCTGATCCCACAAGAGCCTTCCAAGAGCCTTCCGAGAGCCCTCGGAGGAGAGGATTTCAATCCCGGGAGACTCTTCCTAAGTGCAGGACCCCTTTAGCACGCGCCTGATCCAACAAAGCACAATCCCGCCAGGAGCCGAAACAACATTTCCAGTACAAAAGTTGTACTACAAGCGAGCACAATCCAGCCAGAAGCCGAAACAAGGCATTTCCAGTACTAAAGTTGTTTACAAGCGAGCACAATCCAGCCAGAAGCCGAAACGAGGCATTTCCAATACTAAAGTTGTACTTTACTACCAGAGAGCACAATCCAGCCAGGAGCCGAAAGGAGGCATTTCCGGTACTAAAGTTGTACTACGAGAGAGCACAATCCAGCCAAGAGCCGAAAGGAGGCATTTCCAGTACTAAAGTTGTACTACCAGACAGCCAGGAGCCGAAACGAGGCATTTCCAGTACGAAAGTTGTACTACGAGAGAGCACAATCCAGCCAGGAGCCGAAACGAGGCATTTCCAGTACTAGAGTTGTACTACCAGAGAGCACAATCCAGCCAGGAGCCGAAACGAGGCATTTCCAGTACTAGAGTTGTACTACCAGAGAGCACAATCCAGCCAGGAGCCGAAACGATGCATTTCCAGTATTAAAGTTGTACTACAAGAGAGCACCATCCAGCCAGGAGCCGAAACGAGGCATTTCCAGTACTCAGAAGAGCACAATCCAGCCAGGAGCCGAAAGGAGGCATTTCCAGAACTAAAGTTGTACTACAAGAGAGCACAATCCAGCCAGGAGCCGAAACGAGGCATTTCCAGTACTAAACTTGTACTACGAGAGAGCACTACGAGAGAGCACAATCCAGCCAGGAGCCGAAAGGAGGCATTTCCAGTACGAAAGTTGTACTACGAGAGAGCACAATCCAGCCAGGAGCCGAAACGAGGCATTTCCAGTACTAAACTTGTACTACGAGAGAGCACTACGAGAGAGCACAATCCAGCCAGGAGCCGAAAGGAGGCATTTCCAGTACGAAAGTTGTACTACGAGAGAGCACAATCCAGCCAGGAGCCGAAACGAGGCATTTCCAGTACTAAAGTTGTACTACGAGAGAGCACAATCCAGCCAGGAGCCGCAACGAGGCATTTCCAGCACTAGAGTTGTACTAGAAGAGAGCACAATCCAGCCAGGAGCCGAAACGAGGCATTTCCAGTACTAGAGTTGTACTACAGAGCACAATCCAGCCAGGAGCCGAAAAGAGGCCTAGGCCTTGAGAGGAAAGGATTTTAGTCGCGGGAGACTCTTCCTAAGTGCAGGACCCCTTTAGCGCGCGCCTGATCCCACAAGAGCCCGCCAAGAGCCTCCCAGAGCCTTCCAAAAGCTTCCGAGAGGCCTCAGGAGCCTCCGAAAGCCTTCGGAGGAGAGGATTTTAGTCGCGGGAGACTCTTCCTAAGTGCAGGACCCCTTTAGCGCGCGCCTGATCCCACAAGAGCCTTCCAAGAGCTTCCGAGAGCCCTCCAAAAGCCTCCGAGAGCCCTCAGGAGCTTCCGAAAGCCCTCGGAGGGCGCGCCTGATCCCACAAGAGCCTTCCAAGAGCTTCCGGAAGATTCTTCGTAAGTGCAGGACCCCTTTAGCGCGCGCCTGATCCCACGAGAGCTCTCCAAGAGCCCTCCAAGAGCCTCCGGAAGACTCTTCGTAAGTGCAGGACCCCTTTAGTGCGCGCCTGATCCCACGAGAACTCTCCGAGAGCCCTCGAAGAGCTTCCGGAAGACGCTTCGTAAGTGCAGGACCCCTTTAGCGCGCGCCTGATCCCACGAGAGCCCTCCAAGAGCCTTCGGAAAACTCTTCGTAAGTGCAGGACCCCTTTAGCGCGCGCCTGATCCCACAAGAGCCTTCCGAGAGCCCTCCAAGAGCCTCCGGAAGACTCTTCGTAAGTGCAGGACCCCTTTAGCGCGCGCCTGATCCCACAAGAGCCCTCCAAGAGCCTTCCAAGAGCCTCCGGAAGACTCTTCCTAAGTGCAGGACCCCTTTAGCGCGCGCCTGATCCCACAAGAGCCTTCCCAAGAGCCTTCCAAGAGCTTCCGGAAAACTCTTCGTAAGTGCACCCTTTAGCGCGCTCCTGATCCCACAAGAGCCCTCCCAAGAGCCCTCCAAGAGCCTCCGGAAGACTCTTCGTAAGTGCAGGACCCCTTTAGCGCGCGCCTGATCCCACAAGAGCCCTCCAAGAGCCCTCCAAGAGCCTCCGGAAGACTCTTTGTGGTGTGGTGTGGCGTGGTGTGGTGTGGTGTGGTGGTGTGGTGTGGTGTGGTGTGGTGTGGTGTGGTGTGGTGTGGTGTGGTGTGGCGTTGTCTTGTAAGGAGGGGGAGGGAGGGAGGAGGGCGCGCGGATGGGGCGGTGCAGGCCAAAAACAAAAACACCACAGTGATGTGGGGAACAAAATCAAAGTAACCTAGTCTTGCCAAACCTAGGAACCCTAACTTATAAGCCTCCCCAATTACCGCCGAGTTGGATGGCCACGTGGGGGCACTTTGCACCGAAGCCGAGCCGGGCTTTTGCAATCGTGTCTGGGCCTTGCAGGAATCGGGATGCGGATGTCGAGCATTTCTGCTTTGTTCGAGACGCAGAGTTTCTGATGTGCTCCATGCTATCAGGCCCTGGGCAAAGAGACTATTCAAAAGGCTCACGAAGAAGAGACGCAAAGCTCTCCATCTCTCCTCTCTGGGTGTGGTGGTAAGAAAGATGAACAAGACTGGGGAGATGAAGGTGTAAGGGCCTCGATCGTTCTATTGCTGAACTTGGGGCAGGTCGCTTGCTTCCTACCATTGCTCCGATCATTCCTAGTCATTCTCTAGCTAAGGTACGGGGCTGAGAAGCTGAAGGTGACACAAGTCTATCCACGCGGCTACTGTAAGAAGGTCTTGGTGGAGCACACTGCCTTCAAGGACCAGTAATGGTATTAGGTCGTATACGAAAAGATCCGAACAGTTCAGAGTTTGCATGCAGGACAATCATAAGCTTTTTTTGCGGGCGACAACGGCATCTGCTCTGTGGGATGCGCAGAAGTCCAAGAAATTCGAAGCCTCGAGTCTCCGACACTAAACCCCAATATGGACCCAAACTCTAGACCTACAAGCCCTAAATATAAATCCTAAGCCCATCAACACCCTACATGCTCAATCCTAGCACAGATTGAACTTGAACCTTAAGGTCTTGCAAAACCTAACTAGAAACCCCCCGAAATACAAACTCGAGGAGCTCTGCCTGCCAGGCCAGCCGTCCCACGCACGATTGGGAATGGGCCGACCTGGAAGAGCTGAGACAGTTTCTGGTGGCCAGAGTAGAGGATGGGTCCTTTCGACCGAATTTCCGAGCCGGGCTTTATGAACGGGCTTGAATACATTGCTGTGGTCTCCCACTATAATCTTCAGTACTTCCAAATCACCAGACCAATATTGGTTTTTGGAGCAAACGACGATATGCTAGGCTTGTGCTCAAGCTTCGTCTGAGGAATCGCTTAGCTTTTGCCGCAAATTCGAGGTAGAGCGAAGAAGGTGTGCGAAACCGCAAAACCCCCTCAGCGTGAAGTAGCGTGAAATCTCCGTGAAAGGCCGCCATCCTCCGTGAGGAGTCCCCCGATCTCCGTGATTCTAGCGTGAATCCTGGTGCCCCTAAAACCCTATGTTCCGAAGCAGTCCCTTGGCTATGTGATCGGTTGGGTCGATCTTTGCTACATATGTCTAGAGAAGTCTATCGCTAGCCGTTTGAGCTCAACAATCATTTGTGCATTTTGCCTTCCAGGGCGGCCTTGCTTAGGGGGCATGCCTGCAGATAAACGTGTGGTGGAGGAGGCCGTAGCCAGGGCGAAGGAACGACAGGCCAAAGTTATGAGGATGATTGGACCGTCTTCTGGTGTGCTGGAGCCTTATCATGGGGTCATCGCTTGTATGAGATTCAGAATTACGAATGTCTCTAATTATTGCAAAGCCTAGCACGCAGCCTTTCTTGAGCTATTGAGATTCCGGTGTTCTTCTGAGAACCCAAGAACTAATTGGATTTTCAAGCCCCGAACATGTAAAGAATTAAAGCCTAGGAATTTGAGCACCGTAGCCCCTCAACCCCCAAGTCCTCCGAAATAAAAGTCTTTAAAGTCCTTAAGGTTGTAATGCTACACCCGGCTTCTTCGATCTTTGCTGGGCCCA